AACCATGACAGAGTCGTTCATTCATTCATTCACTATATATATAGTGAACACCTACAGGTGCCCAGGAATGCATGAGAGTACGGCTGCTTTCCAGCAGCTTACAATTAGAAATACCAAACAGCTAAACAAAGATATAGATCAAAGTGTAATCTTTTTTTTTGGACACAGGGTCTTGTTCTGTTGCCCAGGCTGGAATGTTGTGGTACAATCTCAGCTCACTGCAGCTTCAACCTTTCAGGCTCAAGTGATCCTCCCACCTCAGGTTCCCAAATAGATGGGACCACAGGTATGCGTCCCTACACCCGGCTAATTGTTTATTTTTGGAGAGGTGAAGTTTCACTTTGTTGCCCAGGCTGGTCTTGAACTCCTGGACTCAAGCAGTCCGCCACCTTGGCCTCCCAAGTGCTGGGATTGCAGGAGTGAGCCACTGCACCTGGCCTCAGAGTGTAATCTTTAAACACTAAAATAAGTGGGGCAGGACAAGTTAGGTTTCCAGAGGAAGGGAAGAACTCCAACTGTCTCAAGTGAGGGTCAAGCTGTAGGAAGCAGGTGAGAGTTAAAAGCAGGTCAGAACTTGATGGAGGAATTTGAGGTAAAAACATTTGGCTCATCCCATATGCAGGGCAGATTTGTGAGCAGGAGAATGGCATGATAAAAATGACTTATTTAGATTAAGGCACGGTGGCTCACACCTGTAATCCCAGCACTTTGGAAGGCCAAGGCAAGGAGATCAATGGAGGCCAGGAGTTTGAGACCAACCTGGCCAACATGGTGAAAACCCATCTCTACTAAAAATATAAAAATTAGCTGGGCGTGATGGCATGTTCCTGTAATCCCAGCTACTTAGGAGGCTGAGGCAGGAGAATCGCTTGAACCCGAGAGGCGGAGGTTGCAGTAAGCCAAGATCACACCACTGCACTCTAGCCTGGGTAACAGGGCAAAACTCTGTCTCAAAAACAAAACAAAAAAAAGAGAACGGGTGAAACTCTAGTCCGAGAGTCAATTTGACCCTGAGATGGGGAGACACTAAAGGAAGGTGATAAATAAGAATGGACAAAGAGGGTGGAGGCTAGCACTCAGTTACAACACATTCACCTCAAAGCAGGCAATTCTCAAAATAAGATGTTTAAGATCATCAACCATTAAACAGGGCCTCGTTAGTGGGTTACAGGAGACTGAGTTTTGCTGCCTGAATTGGGAAAGAAGGAGTAAGAGATACAAAAAAGCAGAGGGTAAAGTCAGCTCAGTTATTCTATGCGAAGTTACACCCATTTAAAGAGCCCAGATGAAGAGGAAAAAAAACAAAAATGAGAGGAGGGGAAAAAACGAGAATCGCTATTTTAGACAAATCCCATATGGGTTATACTCTTAATTTACTTAAGCCAGATGGCTAGGCTGGGGACCGACTAATTTATTACCATCCTGCCATTCAGAGTCAGGTTCCTAAGCAACTCTGAGGGGAAATGTCAGATTGCATGAAATTTCCTGATTAGGTCCATGTGACCCAAGCACAGCCCACTGAAAATGATTCGAATCTTCCAAATCGCATGTTCCAGATCACAGCTGTCAGCTCTGCCCTCTCCTGCTTGTGGCAGATGCACGGGCCTTCACTTCTTTGCAGGCAGTATGGTGGCAGTTCTAGGAATAAGAAACACCAAAATAAAGGCTGGGGGAGGACTGAGAAAAAAAACTTTAGAATTTGGCATTTCAGATTCTCCCTTTGTACCATGTACTTCCCAAAATTTCCTATAAAAGAAGGAAAGTAGCAAAGTGTTTTTAAAAGGAGCATTTAAACTACTGTGGTAATTAAGCAGCAATCTCTGAGTCAGCAAATCCCATCGAGCAAACTGAGTAACATTTGAGATAACATGAGAGGATTAAAAAAGTAGGGACACTCGCCGGGTGTAGCAGCTGAGGCTGGTAATCTCACCACTTTGAGAGGCTGAAGAAGGAGGATCGCTTGAGTCCAGCCTGGGCAATATGGGAAAACCCCATCTCTACAAAAAAATACAAATAATTAGCTAGGTGTGGTGGTGTGCACCTGTAGTCCTAGCTACTCAGGAGGCTGAGGTAAAAGGATCTCTTGAGCCCGGGAGGTTGAGGCTGCAATGAGCCAAGATTGCACCACGGCACTCCAGCCTGGCCAACATGTTGATACCCCATCTCTACTAAAACTACAAAAATTAGCTGGGTGTGGTGGTGGGTACCTGTAATCCCAGATATTTGGGAGGCTGAGGCAGGAGAATCAGTTGAACTTGGGAGGCAGAGATTGCAGTGAACCAAGATCGCGCCATTGCGCTCCAGCCTGGGCAACAAGAGCAAAACACCTTCTCAAAACAAAAAAAAAAGTTGGGAAAAAATAAGCAACTAGGCTGGTTTATGATCTGAAGAGGAAAGCATAGTGATATAACAAAAGCAACAATTAGCGTGTTTTAAGATGGAGTCATTATGTACCAAGCCACGTAGAAACTATTGTTTCCCCCATTTTATAGATGAGAAAACTGAGGATTTCTAAAGGTTTTAAGTTAGGTCTCACCGCTAGTAAGTACCACTGTTAGGGATCAATTCTATTCATCCATCAGAGGGTAAGAAAATGATTGGCCAGAAAAAGTGAAGGGCAGGCCAGGCATGGTGGCTCACACCTGTAATCCCAGCACTTTGGGAGGCCGAGGTGGGTGGATCACCTGAGGTCAGGAGTTCAAGACCAGCCTGGTCAACATGATGAAACCCCGTCTCTACTAAAAATACAAAAATTAGCCAGACATGGTGGTGGGCACCTGTAATCCCAGCTATTCAGGAGGCTGAGGCAGGAGAATCACTTGGACCCAGGAGGTGGAGGTTGCAGTGAGTCAAGATCACGCCACTGCACTCCAGCCTGGGCAACTCTGTCTCAAGAAAAAAAAAAAAAAAGTGAAGGGCAGCAGGCTGCAAATGCCAAAATGAGAGCATGGCTAGTGGTTCCTGGGGCCTGTCTATGAGCAGAGGTGGCTAGAAAGCTAACAGAACAGTGACTGCCAAATGCAGAATGGAGCATGTGCCAAATTCAATGGGGACTGAATCCTGGAACAGAAAAAGGATATTAGTGAAATCTGAATAAAGTCTGGGGTTTAGTTCATAGTAATGTACCAATGTTGGCTTCTTGGTGGTGACAAATGTACCATTGTCATGTGAGATGTGGGTAAGGGAAGCAGGGGAACTCTCTACTCTCCTGCGACTTTTCTGTAAATCCAAAATTATTCTAAAATCAAATGTTTTAAATAAATTTAAATGGAATGAAAAGTTTATTTTTTAATTATGTAAGGAAAGAGAGTATTGGTGACATGTTTACAAATGTTCTTCAGCAGAGTACCATTTAAAATGGAAATGGCAAGGGTAATGCTGCATTTTTGTGGCCAGTCATATTTCTTGGCAGACAAGATGGCTAATGACAATCACAAGGACTAACATTATTAAATGCCTATAATATTTCAGCTTCCGCCCTAAGCATGTTACATGCATGCCCACGTCATTGTCAAGATTATTTTCCCAATTAACAGATGAGAAAAGTTCTTAGAATAGTGCCTGGAATCTGGCAGGTGCTCAAAAATTAGTTTTTTTTTTTTTTTTTTTTTTTTAACAGAGGCTAAAAAACGTACCCAGCTTCTGAACAACAGAGTCACAATTCAAGTCCAAACCCTAAAATGCTTGTTTGTTTGTTTGTGTTTATACTTTAAATTCTAGGGTACATGTGCACAATGTGCAGGTTTGTTACGTATGTATACATGTGCCATGTTGGTGTACTGCACCCATTAACTCGTCATTTACATTAGGTATATCTCCTAATGCCATCCCTCCCCCCTACCTTCCCCCCTCGCTTTTTTTTTTCCTTGAGATGGAGTCTCACTCTGTCACCCAGGCTGGAGTACAGTGGCATGATCTCAGTTCACTGCAACCTCTGCCTCCTGGGTTCAAGCGATTCTCCAGCCTTAGCCTCCTGAGTAGCTGGAACTACAGGTGCCCGCCACCATGCCTGGCTAACTTTTATATTTATATTTTTTAGTAGAGATGGGGTTTCACCATGTTGGCCAGGCTGGTCTCAATCTCCTGACCTCAAGTGATCCGCCTGCCTTGTCCTCCCAAAGTCCTGGGATTACAGGTGTGAGCCACCATGCCCAGTCCCTTCAAGGCTTTTAAATCTCAGCCTTGCCACTTACTAACTCTATGACCTTGGGCAAGTTTCAAAGCCAAAACAAAGCTAACTGATATCATAGAATGGATTTTAAAAGTATGTTGAAAGTTGTGTAATATCAACCTAAATTTACAAACAGACAATTATTTATGAAATATTTCATAATTGTCAAATTGAATAACTTGAAAATAATCAGGCCGAATAGTTCTGCATTGAAATCAATAAAAATAGGGCTCAAAATACCAGCTCTGAAGAATCCGTGGGTATACCTCTGGATATAAGAACCAAACAAGAGACAACTAAGGAAATTGTTAACTCCTGGTAAGTACTAGAACCTCGAAGAAAAATGTATTTTCAGCTCTCCTCTGGGGTCAAATGACTATAGCTCACTGGGCCAGAGAGGGTCCATGATGAGATTTTCTCAAGAGGGGAAGGTGATAAGGCAAATTATAAAGATACACCTTCTGGCAGGGTGCAGTGGCTCACGCCTGTAATCCCAACACTTTGGGAGGCCAAAGTAGGCAGATCACTTGAGGTCAGGAGTTCAAAACCAGCCTGGCCAACATGGTGAAACCACATCTCTACTAAAAAATATATAAATATAAAAATTGCCAGGCATGGTGGCACACGCCTGTAATGCCAGCTACTCAGGAAACTGAGGCAGGAGAATCACTTGAACCCAGGAGGCAGAGGTTGCAGTGAGCCGAGACCATGCCACTGCACTCCAGCCTGGGCAACAGAACATGACTTTGTTTCAGAAAATAAAATAAAATAAAGGCTTTCTGAAGACTGACACCCAGTCATCTCTACTAAAAAATTAATTAAAAAAAAAATCCTTTCGTAGTTCATGAGCGTGATGACTGTGTTCACACGCATATGTGAAACGTACCACCACAAATCTTGTTACAACGTTGGTACATTACCCATCTGGCATGAAAAAAAAAAAAAAAAAGACAGTGAGAGAGAAATCCCTGAGTCACACCTCTGTTCACACATCTCTTCACTTTAAACTAGATCTTGGCCTTAACTGTTACAGCAAAAGGGAGGTCACAGCAGAAAAACTAAAGTTTTTTTATCTTCCAGGTAGTCAGGAGTCCAGATTCAAGAAATATAAGGACTATTGAGGGACGGTTTCAAGAACTAACTTTAGAGGCCTACCACATCATTACTGTAGCCACCCCCCGCTAACCTAGGTACAAAGATGGGGGTGCTCAAATCCAATTCACACCTTGCTGATACAAAGCTGCTTAGAGCCTGAAAAGGCTAAAGCCCTCTTCCAATACATCTGCCCAGACCTCCAGCCATTCTAATCAGCACAAAAGCAAGAAACGTGCCTCGCCTTTCCCCACCCCCATACCCCCCTAAAATGTGACACCCTTGCACATCTTGATCCAAAATAGATTGTGTAAACAACAACAAAACCCTAAGCCTGGAGTCACTTATTTATTTATTTATTTGAGACAGAGTCTCACTCTGTTGCCCAGGCTGGAATGCAGTGGCCGGATCTCAGCTCACTGCAACCTCTGCCTCCCAGGTTCACGCCATTCTCCTGCCTCAGCCTCCCGAGGAGCTGGGACTACAGGCGCCCGTCACCTCGCCCGGCTAATTTTTTTGTATTTTTAGTAGAGATGGGGTTTCACCGTGTTCGCCAGGATGGTCTTGATCTCCTGACCTGGTGATCTGCCCGCCTTGGCCTCCCAAAGTGCTGGGATTACAGACGTGAGCCACCGCGCCCCGGCTCACATATTTACTTTTTTAACAAATATTTGTTCAGCCCTTACTCTGTGCCCTGGCCCCTTTTCTTCTCCCTGGATCCCCGGGGCTGCCTTTAATCTCCCTGTTCTACCCTTGCTTAACCTGCAGGTCTCCAGTTCATAATTTACTGTTCCTTCTCCAGGGCCCCACTTTCTGGTGTGCAGATCTGCCATCCTTTTTCTCCACCATGGATTACTGTTCTACACTCCTCTGCCCCAGACTTTACCTCTTTCTTCCTGGCTTCATCTGAGCACCATTAATCTCTTCATTGTTTAGCCCTTCTTGCAGCTGTTTCCCAGTCTCCTGCCACTAATATCTGATCTCAACCAACCCACACAACAGCCCCTGAATAGAGCCAATGGGGCTGAAAGAATGTAATTCATTTGCCTGTGCTAATCCCATGAGTGAGTGGTCCCGTTCAACAAATTCTGTAAATTAATAATGGTAACAATAATAGCTGGCACTTGAAATTGTGCTGGTGGACAGGTTGCAGGTTTTAGTAATGAGGAAGTCTAAGGATTGACTTTGGTTGTGAGTGGCATGAGGCATGGAAGAGTGCAAGGCCATTTGAAGAGGGGAAGCCTAAGAACACTAAGACTAGATACGGTATTGAAAAAAAATCATTTGTAAGGGTAAAACAATCATCAAGAAGGATGAGAGAAACCGCGCAGGTGAGAGGAATCTTGAAGGAATGAGGGCGTGTGTGGGAAGGAGGAGGCATCAGAGGACCGCAGCACAGTGGGGTAGAGTTTGATGATGTGACAGTCAGAGGTGGTAGTGGGAGCTATGGAGTGGGAGGGAAGATGGCCTGGACGCAGGACACTCACCCCATTTGCAAGCCTGTGGTCTGAGGAGTGTGGGAGAGAAAATGGCCGTCACCTGCAAGGGGAATAGTGCGCTCAAGAGAACCAGTCTAGCAAGCAGGCAAAGAGAGCATTCAGAGAAGTGAGGAAGTGAGGTATTTGAAAGAATACAGCTGAAATCCCCATGGAAGAGTTGCAGAAGTTAGGGAGTGGGCCGGTGAAGTGGCTGATGCCTGTAATGCCAGCACTTTGAGAAGCCGAGGCAGGTGCATCAAATTAGGTCGGGAGTTTGAGACCAGCCTGGCTAACATAGTGAAACCACATCTTTACTAAAAATGCAAAAATTAGATGGGTGTGGTGGCACATGCCTGTAGTCCCAGCTGCTTGGGAGACTGAAGCAGGAGAATCGCTTGAAACTCGGAGGCGGAGGTTGCAGTGAACCGAGATCACGCCACTGCACTCTAGCCTGGCCAACAGAGCGAGACTTTGTCTCAAAAAAAATAAAAATTAAAAAAAAATTTTTAAAAAAGAAATTGGAGAAGGGTAAGACATGGGATCAGAAACGGGGATATCCAAGGCCGTGTGGATGTCAGAGTCTAAAGGATGAGCAATGACCTTGGAGTCTGGGCTGACATACACAGGGAGGAAGGGGAAGAACACGATGGGAGTAGTCCCAGGATCCCAGAGCAGATTGCAGTGGCACAGCTGTGAGTGAGTGCAGGGGCAGGATAGTAAGGGTTGTCATGAGGAGTTCTTGCCCATTGCAAATTAATGATCTGTTGGGGGAGCCCCATATACGTGACAGAAGCATACATCCCAGATGCCTTTGAAAATTGCAGATAATGGAAACCTACAGGAGGTGGACCCAAACTCAACAGGGAGGGTCATAAAAAACTTCGAGGGAGAGAGAGAGAATAACAGAATTCCATAAAATGATTGCAACCACTAGAAAAAAAATTTTTTTTTTTTTTTTGAGATGGAGTCTCGCTCTGTTACCCAGGCTGGAGTGCGGTGGCACAATCTCAGCTCACTACAACCTCTATCTTCCGGGTTCAAGCGATTCTCCTGCCTCAGCCTCCCAAGTAGCTGGGACTGCAGGCATGTGCCACCACACCCGGCTAATTTTTTTTGTATTTTTAGTAGAGACAGGGTTTCACCATATTGGCCAGGCTGCTCTCTAACTCCTGACCTCGTGATCTGTTGGCCTCTGCCTCCCAAAATGCTGAGATTAAAGCGTAAGCCACCGCGCACAGTTGAAAAAAGTTGTATAGTATTTTATATTCACATTATTTGAATAGTCTTTAGTCTCGTCAGGTGAAATTGATTGCATTTGGCTAGAGAACATTGAAAGATTTACACAGCACAAGGCAAGTATATTACCTTTAATGTTAAGTTGTAAAATTCTAAATAGATGTAGGTTAGAGATTTTCTGAGTCTAAGATTCTAATTCTTTCCCTATTCCTTTATTACCTGAAATCTCTGAAATTACCTCCAGTATTTGGGGTGATGGCTAGAGATAGAAAATTAAATTGATGGAACCTTCCCTGACTCCCTTATCTAAATTAGCTAAACTACCTTTATGTCAACATGTGTTGATTGCCTGAATGTATCTCATATAATCCTCATAAAAACCAGCAAGGCAATAATTTCTATTTTATAAACAAGAAATCGAATGCTCAGAAAGCTAAGATAACTTGCTCCCGCAGTTAGTGAACAGCTGAAGCGGGACTCATGATTGTCTGTTAACTGCCCCTTCCTGTAGACCATAATGCAATCACATTTTCAGCTTTGCTTTTTTTTGGAGACAGAGTCTTGCTCTGTCGCCCAGGCTGGAGTGCAGTGGCGCCATCTCGGCTCACTACAACCTCCACCTCCCTGGTTCAAGCCGTTCTCCTGCCTCAGCCTCCCGAGTAGCTGGGACTACAGGCGCATGCTACCACATTCGGCTAATTTTTTTGTATTTTTAGTAGAGATGGGGTTTCACCATGTTAGCCAGGATGGTCTCAAGCTCCTGACCTCGTAATCCACCTGCCTGGGCCGCCCAAAGTGCTGGGATTACAGGCATAAGCCACCACACCCGGCCTTCAGCATTGTTAAAATGCAAAAAAAAAAAAAAAAAAAAAAAAAAAAAGCTATTTGTGTTGTCCATGCTGGATGGTAATTCACTTACCTCTTCTAGTAGTTTCAAGGGAGAATATTAGTTGATTAGACCTTAAAGCCTTTAATATGGTCATTGATAACATAAAACAAATTAAAATATAATGTGGAAGAATCCCCCTAGGGAATTCTAAAGAGTACAACTAGTTTTCCAAGACGAAATTGGCTTGCGTTTAGTAGAAGCAATAGATTGGAGACAGACTGATAGATTTGGACAGCCAGAAAGTCTACATGGGACCACTCATTATATCATAACCAGACAGGTAGTGTTGAAAGTGGGCTCAATCTACACAGCATCCTCATTTCATTTTATTTTATTTTGAGACAGAGTCTCACTCTGTCACCCAGACTGGAATGTGGTGGTGCAATCACAGCTCACTGCATTCTCAACCTCCTGGGCTCAAGCGATCCTCCCACCACAGCCTCCCAAATAGCTGGCCCTTATTTTTAAAAACAAACACAAAAGGCATCTGTCAACCCACATAGATGGACTACTATTCAAATGTAGAGCCTTTACTCATCTTAAAACAAATCTGTGGCTGGTTGCAGTGGCTCACACCTGAAATCCCAGCACACAGGGAGGCTGAGGCAGGAAGATCACTCAGGAGTTCAAGACTGACCTGAGCAACAAAGTGAGACACCATCTCTATAGAACATTAAAAAAATCAGCCAGGCATGGTAATGCACTCCTGTAGTCCCAGCTACTCAGGAGGCTGAGATGGGAGGATTGCTTTAGCCCGTGAGGTTGAGGCTGCAGTGAGCAGTGATTACACCACTGTACTTCCAGGGCAACACTGTGATACCCTTTCTCAAAAAAAAAAAAAAAAAAAAGGAAAAGAAAAGAAAAAGAAATGGATTTAGATTCAGAATCCTGGATTTAAGCCCCAGCTTTACCATTATTAGCTGTGCAACCTTGGGTTACTTAACCCTTCTGTTCCTCATTTCCTTACCTATAAATGGGGTATAGTATTGACTATCACCTCCCAGAGGTGCTATAAGAATTAAATGGATTAATGTTTGTAAAGTTCTTAGCATAGGCCTGGCTCATAGTAAGCCTTTCATAAATGTTCACTATTATAATTATCCCTGGTTCTTAGACTTTTTTTTTCTTTCTTCTTCTTTTTTTTTTTTTTTTGGTGACAGGCTCTTGCCATGTTGCCCAGGCTGGTCTTAAATGCCTGGCCTCAAGCAATACTCCTGCCTCTCAGCCTCCCAACG